CCTTTAGCCATCCCCGGATCATGGGCAAGTGTGATCTCAACATACTCAGGGAGGTCTCTGGTCTTGACCGGGAAACCTTTTGATGTGGGATTGTCTCGCAGTTCAATCTGCTGCTATAACACTGCCTAACATCCCCCTTCTCTATTTTTATTTATTTATTTATTACTTATTTGTGATATCTTCTTATCTAGACAGTTCTTAAGGTAGTGGTGAACAGTGTCTTAATATTTTTCCTATTCTCCATAGGATCTGCTATCATTTTAGTCATTTAGATGAGTCTCAAACATTAGGTTTAATTTGTGATTAAAAGCTGAGACCAATATACTAGTGGCCATACAGTACTTCATTATGTAGTTGAGTGAGTAATATCAGGGTTGAAACTCCTCATTTTGATTTTTATTCACCAGAATGAACATACACAAACTGTGAATCTCTGGAGAATGACATAGACTAAATAGAAGCATAGATCTAACGCTATTAACCAAGACCATGAAATGAATAAAAGAACTATTTCAGGAATTCCAAAATCTGGTAGAAGAGGGAAAACTAATTCTTGCATGTACACTGCAGTTCAGGGGTGGATCCCAGAAATACTTAAGATTTACAGTTTACAAAACATCTTCAGGTATTTCTGCTTCTCTGGTGAACTTGGAGTTAGGCCAAGGAGATACCGTCTAAGTATCAGGTAAGAAAGATCGTGGTTAAGGTTACGCAGCCTGCTTAACATCCCAGAGCTAGGAAATGGAACTCCCAAGACTGGAACACAAACATACAGCTATTTCTAATGTATATTTTCAGATGCTTGCCCCGTGAAAACACAGTCTCAGGTTTGGGAAGTTGGAGAGAGCCTAGTGTAAGCTTCAGTTTCTGCCCTTAAGAACCTTATGGTACAGGAAATAGGGACACTTATTTGTTCATTGGTTTAGATCCTAACTGTTGATAGTCTCTGGAGCTGGAGAAGACATAGATGTCATGGCACAGGGCGACATATCTATGCAAATATCACAGATGCTATATGGGACCTAGGGGTTAGGTCTGTTACAGGGTACAATTGAGACTTGTCAGTTCTACCCACCAAGGATACAGAAGCAGAGGGAAGTGCCTCTGGAGAGGATGGGCATTTAAAGGGGGTTGGGTGTTCTCCAGGCAAACAGCAGAGAGAATGGATTTTGGGGGGAAGGAACAGCTTTAGAAAGTACAGAAGGGTGTACAGGAAATGCTTAGGAGGTAGAGATAAACTAGAATGCTTGAGCCTTCTAAGCTGAGAGTGAAATTTATCTTGTCTGATGAAAAGACTGATCTATTTTCAACTAGAAAGTAACAATATTGGACATACATTTTTCGTACAAGGTCGGAAAAAGAAGTGGTTTAATTTAAAGGTAACAATAATGTTCAAGGGACCATGGAGAAAGTCCTAGGAAATCAGAGTCTTCTTTCTATATGTTATTTGTAAATTTAAAAAGAGGTAGTAGATGTGTATATGCAGTGTAAACAATGAAAGTTCTATGCTTGTCACCCACCCACCCACTCACCATCCTTTGTCACTGATTTCTCATCTCAAGTAACTACTATTTTTAGTTTTTTTGGATCCTTTGAGTTTCTTTGTCTCTAGATAATCATACAGAAACTATGTTTTAAAAGTCTATCTCCCAGGATATCGGGTGGCATGGTGGTTAAGGCATTGGACTCCCACATGGCTGACCACAGCTCCAGTCCTGGACCTGGCAGCTTGAAAATCATCCTCTGTGTGTGTGTGTGTGTGTATGTGTGTGTATATGTGTGTGTGTGTGTGTGTGTGTGTACATGTCTAAAATCCTGAGAGGGGAGTAGAGGAGAAGGGATTGTGATGTGGCCATTCCCCCGGGAGGTGATGTCTCACTTTCCATTTCTTGGTCTCTGGTAAACAAATGTGTCCTATGACAAAAACCTAAATAAATAAATAAATAAATACAAATAAAAAAATTCTCCTTTCTATTAAAGAGTATCATACCACACACGGGACTTCTTGTGGCTTTTCTCAATATGGCTTAGAGATCTTTTCTTTTTAGTCCTCTTACAGAGCTTCCTCCAGCTTCTTCTTCCTCTTCTTTTTTGTTTTTTCCTCTTCTTTTTTAACAATGGAATATTCCATTGTATAAATGTTCCATAACTTATTTAACCAGCTCCTTGCTAATAAATGATGATACATGAAGAACCCTGAATAGTTACAATCTTACAAGTGTGCGTATCTGGCCATGGGGCTTGGAATTCCTGTGCCAAGTGTAGATGCATTTGAAGTTTTGGTAAGTGTCATCTAATTGTCCTCCTTAAGAGTTTCTTATTTTATTTTTTTTCAATTTTTATTCTCTGTAATGAAAATCCTTTAGGACAGGGACTATATCTTATTTATCTTTACTTAATTTGGCCTAGCTAGAAAGTATTTCATAAATGGATATTGAATTAATTCTTACCCAAAGGCACAGTAGGAGAAGGACTGCAGGTCGAGTCACTTGAAAAGAGCATACCTGTTAGCAAGATATAACTGGCTTCTCCCTTTCCCTTCCAAAAAATCGTGGTGAGTATGACAAAGTAAAGGCTCGATTAGAATACTTTCTCATGTCTTGAGAGCCAGTGTACATTATAAATATAATGCAAATAGTAATAATGGTAATATTTTGCATTACTAAACTTGAAGTACAAATTCTACCATCTCATTTTTTTGTTTGCTTGTTTGTTTTGGAAGAAAGAATATGTACACAAGTCCTATTTGTAATTTTTAAAAATTCTGATGAAAACAAGTGGTAATTAAAAAAAAATTTTTTTTAAAGAATATTTTATGGGAGCCAGCAGGTGGCATGGTGGTTAAAGCGCTGGACACTCCCACTTGGTTGACCGCAGTTTGAGTACTGGACCTGGTGGCTTGCTTTCTCACTTTCCCTCTCTCTGTGTGTCTCTCTCTTGTCAAACTAAAATAAATAAATGAATAAATAAAAAAACTAAATAATTCTTTTAAAAAAGAATATTTTATGCTCCTTTAATGTTATTTCTGTTCTTTCTGATGTGGAAGTTCTTTATGGATACAATCTCAAAGTTGTACCAATCACAAGGCACTGAGAACTAACTTCTTTCTTTTGTACCTAGGAATGACTGAGTCACTGTGGGCTGTGGCAATCAGTTGAAGTCACCGATATTCAGGGACAGGCCTTGGAAGAGATGAGAGTTTCTGATCACACTCAGGCAGTTATACACACAATCAAGCATTTATGAGTACTAAAAATTTTCTTTTGTCTTTCTGTTTGTTTTTAGATTTTTGCCATAGGGAGAGAGAGAAAGTGAGAAAGCAATGCCCCCTGGGGGATGCTTGCACCACAATCTCTTCTCCTCTATTCCTCACTCCTTTCAGGATTTTAGGCACATATGCACATGTACCCACCATGTTTCCCAAGCTGCTGGGTCAGGGACCCAAACCACAGAGTAGGTCATGTAGAATCCAGCTACCTTAACCACCACACCATGGACTGGCTCTTCTTGAATTCTTTCATGAGTAGGTTAAGCCATAGTTTTGGTATCAGGTAGATATTTTATATATTGCTTGCATTTACATTTGCCTTTCTTAGCTCATAGAAAATCTTAACTGAAATCTAAATAGAAATGATTCAAATGGCTTCTCTCAGAAGCACCTACTCTGCCTTGTATTCTCTAATTTTTTCTACCTCAATTTGTACAAATTTTCTATACATGATGCATTCTTCAGTCACCAAACTCCTAATTTAATATGCTAAAGTAAATAATTTGGGATTATATCATAAGTATCTGTAGCAACACAATTAGTTAACATCTGAGAGGTTCTGTGCCTAATGCCGATGAAAGGACAAGGTCTATGTCAAGGAAGGGAGCTTTGCCTTAACTCTGGCTTTAACTGCTGAGAACCATAGACACATCTCAGGACATTTGGTTTTTCTCGGGAAGTCTGCAAAGTCATCTTCAGAATATTTTTTGGCTTGTTTTTGTCTTCTAAACTCTTCCGAGAAGGCTTTATCTTTAATGCTTTTTGCTTTTTTTTTTTTTCTTCTAGGATAATTCACAAGTTTTAAAGCACCGAATTATTGACATATATTGATTTTGTAAGTTTTTTATTTTTCAAAATGAGTGAGTATACTTGTTTTTAATAACAAGAATACCATTATAGGCATGGAATCTTTGGGAAGATTTTGAAAACATTGTGATTTAGTGACTATTTACATTTGTTGAGTGTTTATTTAATTTATTTCTCCCTACAATGTGGCAAATTGGGCCTCGCCATCACATTTTACAAATGAGGACTCAGGCTCAAAGACCTGGAGCCCCAGGCCACTGCCTAGATATGGTGAAGGTCAAAGCCAGGACCTTTGAATCCAGGGCCAGTCCACCATAGTAGCATCTAGATACTGAAAAACTAAGGATGGAATAAAATTCTCTAAACTATGGTTCTTCGTTTCTTTTATTTTTTTCTGTCATAGATTCTTTGGCAGTTTGCTGAAGTTCCTCTACAAGTAAGATTTATACATATGTAGAATAAAATACCATGGAAATCAAATGTTTTCAAAGATAGTTATTAAATTGTGTTCAAAATATGTAATAAATTTTGTACTTCTGTATTAAGATATTATGGACCAAGATAAAAGGGTGAGTGTTATATCTACTCTAACTTCAGAACAGAGAAAACATAAATGAATTTCAAAGTGTCTGTAAGAACTGTAAAGGGAGAGAAAAATATTGAATTTCTGTTAGTGTTATTTATACTAACCATTGCGATTTGTTGCCTACATCCATAATAAAACGATAAATTTCTTTAGAAAATATTGAAGAGAGAGATGTAATTTCTTTCCCCCTCCAAGTTCAGATGTCAGAAATTTTGATTCCAAGAATAAGAGCCTGTCCAGGACATTTGGGCCATGGGATCATAGCTCTGTCCCTACGCTTTCCGAGAGTGACACCATTTCCTTTTTTTCCTTCTTACAGAGTGAGAACAGTACACGTACCTTCTAGGGTCTCACACTGGACCAGGTTGATGTAGTCCTGCTGGGTCAGAAGGCTGGCTTTGCAGCCTCGCACCAGGCCCTCCAGGTAGCCATGGTCCACATTGAAGTACAGCTCTGCACCCTCCAGCATGGCGAAAGCGATCCCAGCCCACGGAGGCTGAAACAGCTGTGCAGTCCCAGTTCGTCCCTGAAGACTGGCACTGCTCTGGGACAGGGGCTGTAGTTACCAGGCTGCCTGTGAGCAATCGATCAGCTGATAGTCAGGGTTTGTGACTAGTTTTCTCCAGTTTCAGTGGCTTTCAACACAACATGCTTAGCCCTGTTTTTACAGCAACAGTGAATCAGCCAGATGAGCCAAGTTAAAGGCAGCAAGCCTTTGCTGGGAGAATGAGAGTAAAGGAGTGTGTGGGGGGAAGGGTGGAGACAGGTCTGGGTCTTTACCCTCCCGAAGAAGCCTGGTCCCTTCCCAGCTTTGTTATTGGGAGGCTTCAAACACCTACATGTTTTGTAAACATTACTACCTCCACCTGAGCTTTGGCTCATTCTAAATTCCTTGAAGACTTTCAGTAGAACAAAAAGGGGATTTATTTTAAATTTAAAAAAAAAAACCTTATGCAAATGAACTGTGAGCAGGCAGTTTGTAGAATCATGAAATGCTAATTCCACAACATAGTGTATTCCTAAAACAATGGCTAGTAATGTCTTAAAATTGCCACCCGCTGGGCCAGTGCAGTGCCCTGGTAGTTCTTGCAGCTGGATCCCAAGTTCTAGTGGCAGACCAGGTGGTTTGAGAAGCATGCTGGGTATGTGCGTGCATGCATGCCCAAAATCCGGAGAAGAGGGAGAAATGGAGGAGAAGGAACTGCTGATTCTTCCTAATAGGAGGTGCTTTCTCCTCTTCTCTCTCCGGACAGTTCATGTGCCCTCTAGTGAAAATAAAATATTCAATAACATAGCCACAGACTCGTAGCTCCTCTCCATCTAATCTACGAAAGGAGACTAGAAAACACCCCTGGAAAGTTGATACATGGTGCTATGATTCTATAACAATAAGCCACTGCCATTGCCAACTATTGTGGATAAAGCACTCTTCTTTTCTATTTTCTCATTTGAATCTCATGATTTCTGTGAGACGTAGAGTGCACAGATAGTGCTATTACTCAGATCACACAGAAGAAACCAACTCTCAGAAGCCATCAGAGGGCTCAGCTGGAAACACAGTAAGTATTTAATGAAGCTGAAACTTAATTGTTGTGTTTCATGTTCCCAAAAGGAGTGCTGGTTCTCTCACATTTTAAGCTCAAAAACTGTGTCAAATATCCTAAACACTATTTACGTACATAGCATTTCATGGCAGGTTTTCTTCTGTCATGTTCTGCTTTTTCAAGCTGTTTGAAAGAAGCTGGGTAACATTCAATCAATGTAAATTCTGGTTTAGTTGTTGAAAATCACAGAGAAACAAACTTAGCTTTCACAGGGCCCAGACTTTGAACGTATCCAAAGAGTTTGGATCCAAAAAATAGAGACTTAAATTAATACATCGTCACTATCTGTTCCCTTCCGTCACAATTTCACCATCTTCAGTCACCTCGAGAAGGCAAGCTGCCAGGTCCAGGACTTGAACTGTGATCGGTCATGTGGGAGTTCGGCATCTCAACCATCACGCCATCTGCTGGCCCCCCAGGAGATCATTCTTAATGACAAAATCAAAAGGTAAATCAAAGTCCTTTCCCAAAGCTCAGTACTTAAAAAAAAAAAAAAGTTTAAATTGTTTATTAAGAAAAATTTAAACATACGAAAAAGGAAAGCATGACTGTAGTTAAACCTCAGGCATCCATCACTAGCTTCAAAAATGATCCACTTGAGGCAAATCTTGGTTTGGCTATACCAGAGATGAGCAAGATTTCTCTGTATGAGATCATAAAAATGATCTCTTCTGAATGATCATTCAGGAATGAATGTTTTAGACACGATCCTATATTTATTGGAGTAAAAGTGGCAGGAATTCTTCTGTCATGTTCTGCTTTTTCAAGCTGTTTGAAAGAAGCTGGGTAACATTCAATCAATGTAAATTCTGGTTTAGTTGTTGAAAATCACAGAGAAACAAACTTAGCTTTCACAGGGCCCAGACTTTGAACGTATCCAAAGAGTTTGGATCCAAAAAATAGAGACTTAAATTAATACATCGTCACTATCTGTTCCCTTCCGTCACAATTTCACCATCTTCAGTCACCTCGAGAAGGCAAGCTGCCAGGTCCAGGACTTGAACTGTGATCGGTCATGTGGGAGTTCGGCATCTCAACCATCACGCCATCTGCTGGCCCCCCAGGAGATCATTCTTAATGACAAAATCAAAAGGTAAATCAAAGTCCTTTCCCAAAGCTCAGTACTTAAAAAAAAAAAAAAGTTTAAATTGTTTATTAAGAAAAATTTAAACATACGAAAAAGGAAAGCATGACTGTAGTTAAACCTCAGGCATCCATCACTAGCTTCAAAAATGATCCACTTGAGGCAAATCTTGGTTTGGCTATACCAGAGATGAGCAAGATTTCTCTGTATGAGATCATAAAAATGATCTCTTCTGAATGATCATTCAGGAATGAATGTTTTAGACACGATAGGCCATACCGTTTCTGTTGGAACTCCTCAGCTCGGCCATTGTTGTGGGGAAACAGCCATAAACCACACAAAAATGAATGTGTGTGACTTGTTCTAATAAAACTGTTTACAAAACAGGTTGTGGGCCACAGTTAGCCTTTGGGCCATAATTTGGCAACTCCTGATCTAGAATCTTGTTTATTTCCTCCTCGCTCTGAATTATTGGATCGTCGGGAAAGTCATGACACATTTTTAAATCCAATATATATTATTTTATCTATGAATACCCCAATAATTATATCTAAAAGATAAAGACTCCCTTGTTGTGTTCGTTGGTTTGCAATTTTGTCAGAGGGCATGCGCACTTGCTGGAGAAAGAGAGGAAGAGAGAGAGAGAAAGCACACTCCCATGGCAGTGGTCATGACAGAACCCCTTCTTTTCCTTTTCTCCCTCTTTTCAGGATTTGGGGCATGCATACAAAGACAGCTGGTGTATTTCTCAAGCTGCCAGGTCCAGGACTTGAACTGCACGGTTGGCCATGTGGGATTCTAGCTACACTATGCCATATAGTTGGCCCACAAAATAAAACTATTATTAACTTATGTATTTAAACATAGTCAACATATTGTTTTGATGTAAGTCTAATATTAACTGATAGCTCCCTTGCATTCTTTTATGACAGGATGTCCTATGCTTACTTTGTACAATTTTTCCCAGAATTGAATCTGAGGAGCTCTGGTTTAACAGTGGAGTTCTTTTTTTCTCTTCCAGATTTATTAAGGTATAACTGGCAAAGAAAAGTTTGAATATATTTACAGTATTGAAAGTAGATTTTTATAAAGAATTATTTCATTTAATTTTACTCATTGTCATTATTTTATTTCTTTAAAGTTGACACAGTATAGAAAGCAAACATAGATACCAGAGACAGAGAGAGAGAGAGAGAGAGAGAGAGAGAGAGAAAGGAGAAAGCAAGCTATCAGGTCCAGGACTTGAACTGCGGTCAACCATGTGGGACTTCAGCTGCCTGAAACCACCATGCCACCTGCCAGCCCCAAAAGTGAATTTTTTATATATTTATACAAATATATATATGTGTGTATATTATATTGTATATATATATATATATACAATATAATATACACACATATATATGTATACACATACACACACACAAACATACATGTGCATTGTGAAATGATTACCATAAATCAGCTAATTAGCCTATCCATTAGCTTACATAATTATCTCTCTCTCTATCTCTGTGATGATTGCATTTAAAAGCTATTTTTTTTAAACAAATTTCAGGTATACAATATGATATTATTAACTATAGCCACCAGGTTGTGTATTAGATCCCCCAAACTTAATCATCTTAAAACTGAATGTTTGCACCCTTTGACAGACATATTCCAAATTTTGGTAACCACCATTCTAACTCGACTCTCTGCTTCTATGAGTTTCACTTTTTCAGATTCCACATCTAAGTGAGAGATCACTGTATTTGTCTTCCTATCTTACTTCGGGTATATGTCCAAAGGAAAGGAAATGGTGTCACTAAGAGATGTATGTATTCCCATGTTCATCTCGGCTTATTCACAAAGACCAAGACAACATCAAAACAACCCAAGTGCTCATCAAATAATAACTGGATTAAGAAATTGTGACATATAGGGTTGGTAGGTGGAATAGTGGTTAAGGTGCTGGACTTCCCCGTGATCGACCACAAATCAAGTCCCAGACCTGGCAGCTTGAAATACACTGGGCATGTATGCATGCATGCCCTAAATCCTGAGAGGAGAATGGAGGAGAAGTGATTGTGGCATGGCCATCCCCTAGGGGGTGATTTCTTGCTTTCTCTCCATCTCCCTCTGTCTCTCCAGAAAATGCACATGCCCTACAGTAAAATTCTATTAAAAAAATTGTGACAAATGTATTATAACTGAATAATATTTTATTATCAATAAGAAATTATAATATCTGTGTGTGCACATACACACACACACACACACGCACACACACACACAATCATACTCCTCCCTGGAAGCTAAGCTTATGTCACTACACAAGTGGCAGATTTCTAAGAGCAGATGTGCTCACAGGGGCCAGGGCTTTTTATAAATGGATATACTGTTAGCTTTCCTAACTTTCCCTCCATTACTGAAGATTTTCTCACTGGGCCCTGCCACCTGGCACAGCAGTAATGCTATGCTCCGCAAAGCTGAAGCCACAAAGGAGGGGCCGGGGACAGCATCCCGGATATCCCTTACAAGGCTCCTGTGAGTCTATGATCCTAGCTGACTGAAGCTGGGTGTGAGTGGATCATGTGCGAAGGCTCTGTTGGAGGTGTTTTCCACCTTTCCTCTCTCATGGAAGAAATAAACTAAAAAAAAAAGGATTTTCTAATTAGAATGTGTAAAAATAAAACAAACCTCCCATATCAGTCAAAAAAAACAAAAACAAAAACAAAAAAACATTCAGGAAAAGATTGAGTTTCAAAGGTACAAGAATGCAGGGCCAGAAGGTCTATGGTAGTTGGGATGCTGGACTCCCACAAGGCTGATCGTGGTTCAAGCCAGACTGGCAGCTTCAAAATCATGCCAGGCATGTGTGCACATGTGCCCCAAATCCTGAGAGGAC